AACGAGTGGAACAACGTGAAATTCTCAGAGCAAGGTATGAACACCCAAATGAATTGAAACGGGATGATTCGTTTAAGTTTTTTCGAGAAAAGCCGTAGTTATATCAGGATATGAGCCTCTCAAAGAACGTAACCACGCCCGTTCCCCGATTTGTGGGACTCAGATATTCTTAACTTTTACATTGTATCTTATATCTCTAATTTCCCAAGCATTCTACTCGTGTTTGAATTCACAGTGAATGAAACGAGGTGATGCCTTTCGATGTTCACGTGCAACCTGGAATCCAACAATGCATAAATAAATTGATGTAATTTGTCGTTACTTGAATAAGTTTAAGACAGTTTTGTGTCTTTAAGACATGCGATACAAAAGAAAATAAAAGCCAAGAAAGGCGGTGATGTAGAGGGTACATCGCATAAGGATAAAAGTGAAAGGAAGAAACGGAAGCAGAAAGAAAAAGAGAGTAAACGTGATAAAGAATCAGGTGAGAATTTTTTAAAATCACTTTATTGTCACTGGACTATTAGTTTCCTATAGTGACGTTAAATGTTGGAAAGAGGAGAGAAGGCTTCGGATTTTTTCAGTTGTAAATCCATCACTTCTCTCATCTGATTATGTTTGTCATTGATGATTACGATCCTATAAGTTAGGGTTGCCAAAGGAGGAAAGGGTTTAGGGGAAGAATATTAGTGTTGATAAGGTTGGCATTCACGTGTTTCGGTCGAAAATTCCGATCGTTTTCTATCCATCAACAATAAAACATTTTCACGTTTGATTTCAGTGAAGAAAAAAATCGAAGACAGCGACGAAGACGTTGAACATACACCGAAACATTCGGATCATGAGGACGAATTTGCAAAATGTACGTTCATTTTCTGAAAAATTTTTCGGTTCCAGCGTTTTATTATTTGAATTTTCCTTAGCAACATCCTACTTGGTTTCACTTGTGAACAATGTTTGAAAACAGTGAATTTTAGTTCTCCGAAGACTTTGTTTTCGTTTCAAATACGTCAAAAGCGAACTTTTTGCTACGATGCCGATTTTACTTGACGTTTTTCGAGTGGGCATGCTCTGATTTTTGATGCGTAGTTATCTTGAAAGTGGATATTACTGTTAGATATCATCGCTACTGGTATCATCTGTGTAATCGCGATTGCATATTATCGTCATTCATTTAGCGAAATCTCCACCTCCGGCATCACCAAAATGGGATAATGGTACAAAAGAAGAGCAAGATGATATGTATGATCAGTACCAACACCCATCCGAAATTCAACGGAAGCAGAAGCACAAATCAGCGATGGCCGATCTATTGAATAAACGACGCGAAAAGAGAGAAGGTTTCTTTTAGTGTTCGCTCATTTGAATGTGATTTTTTTTTTTGTTCAGCAGAACTTCTTAGTGAAAAAGTCATGTAAAAGCTGCGTCGATCATTCTTAAAATATTACTACAAGCAACCCGTCTTCATTTCTGGACAGTACGGAACCTGATGGAAATAAGAAATGTAAAAGTTGATGTTGATAGTTGTTCACTTTTTAAAATTACGTAATCGATATGCAATGGAACTGGATCAATCGCATTCGATTCGGATGAGTGCTTCCATTTAATCCAATTGCACGTTTTTGCGCAACATTTTGAAAAAATTTCAACGTTAATGTTGTTGTTATGGAAAGTGAGATTGGCCTATTAGTAGTTGAATTATTGAAAGAGTAACGAGCATTTCAGCTGAACAAAAGAAGAGAGCAGAATCGAGGAAGTCAGAGTTGGACATCGACGAGGTGTTTGGTAAAGATGACGACGATAGCGATGAGGATAACGAAAAAAGTTCGAGCTCATCAAGTCGCAGCACAAGTCGCTCGTCGAGTCGCAGTTCCAGTAGAAGTCGATCTCGAAGTGTCTCACCACAAAAGAAACGAGAAGTAAGTGGTGATCTTATCTTCATTTCATTCGATTAACTTTCATATCTCATAACTTGAACTCTCATTTTTGTTATTGCTTATTTTCATTTATTTATTCCATTTTGCCCAACCAACAATATTCCCGATCAGTTTATTGATTGGTAAATCTCTGTAATAGTTGTTTTTATTTCATTCTATAACTTTTAAAAGTTTCTCTTTTGAGATAGTTTTCAACTTTTAAGACGGCATCATTGAAGTTTCTTTCGGCTGATCATTAGTTGTTTCAATTTTTGTTTATTTCATGAACATTTCTTTGTGCAATTTCGTTTCAACTGAACTGTTTTATTAGTTAACTGAATGCAAAATTTGTTGTTTCTAGGTTGACTGTTTGACGGATATTCAGCGTATACGTTTGTCACGTTTTAAATTAGCAAATTTCGTACATGCACCGTTCTTCTCGAAAACGGTTATCGGTTGTTTCGTGCGCATTGGTATCGGCAAAAATAAGGAAGGTCGAAGTGTTTATCGGGTGAGTATGAAGTTTGATTTAAACGCATCTTCATTGTTGCTATTATTCTCTTGTTATTGTTATTACTTTTCATAGCTTTATTTTTTGTTATCAGCACCGATGTGATTGTTAGGTTTCATCGTGCCGTATTTGTTGGAGTACCTGGTTTTCAGGCCGCTCAAATAATGGACGTTGTTGAGACGGCGAAGGTTTACCAGTTGGAATCAACACGAACCAATAAGGGTTTGAAACTGAAACACGGTAAAGATGAGCGTGTCTATCGTTTGGAGTTTGTTTCGAATTCGCCGTTCACCGATAGCGAATTCATAAAATGGCTGGACGCAACGAAAGCTGCTGTAAGTTCGCGCATTGATTTGTGAACAGTATCAATGAGAAATATGTAAAATAGTTTTATTGGATATTTGTGAGTGGGAAGAATGACTCGATTTGAATGCGTCATTCGACATTTCAGAAAATACCTGTGATAACGATTGATCACGTTGAAAAGAAGGAAGCAGATATCAAGAAGGCGTTGAACTATCGTTACACGGATGAGGACATCGATAAGGTTTCCGTTGAATTTGTGTATTTTTTCGCGAGTATTTGATTAGGGGACAGTTAGTTTTTTGAATATGGCTGGATGTTGGAAACTGAAATAATTGGCTTCATTTTGATTAGGTTTAAATTTAAGTACTTGAGTGATTGCTCCATTCAACGTACGGTAGTACAGTCTTTTGGATTTTTATTCATTTGTAATACCGACCAATTGTCATAGATGGTCAAGGAAAAAGCACGATTCAAGCGAGGTCCACTCAACTACGCAATCGAGAAAGGGCAACTCATGAAAATGAAGGTGAGTCTTTCGATGTTTTTCCACTTTTTAATGTATTTCGTATTTCAACAGTCATTTTCCA